TGTTGGTGGTGTTTGCTTTAGTCGCTGTCCTGATATCCCCTTCCTTCCCGCATCGCCTTTTTGCTCACGCTCACGTGCATATGTATGTGTGTTTGTTTGTGTGCGTGCGCCACTGCAGAAATTTGGTGACTACCGGAAGGACGATCCAAGCTCGTTCCGCCTGCAACAAAACTTCACGCTGTACCCACAGTTTATGTTCCACCTGCGGCGCTCGCAGTTCCTTCAGGTTGTGAACAGCAGTCCGGACGAGACGTCCTACTTCCGCAACATGCTCATCCGTGAAGACTGCCTCAACTCGCTGACCATGATCCAGCCCACACTCACGGCGTACGCGTTTGGCATGGAGCCCCAGCCCGTCCTCCTCGACAGCAGCAGGTGTGTGTGTGATTGTGTGTGTGTGTGTGTGTGTGTGCTTTTGTATGTGCTTTTGTGTGGTGTGCGTGTGTGTGTAAAAAAGGCATGCTATTTGTCTTCGCAAAGCTCCAACACACCTCATTCTGACCACCACCGCCCGGCACCAACACCTGCAGCATCCAACCGGACCGTATTCTGCTGCTGGACTCGTTCTTCCACATTGTCATCTTCCACGGCGAGACCATTGCCGCGTGGCGCAACGCAAAGTACCAGGACATGGAGGAGCACGAGAACTTCCGCCAGCTGCTGCAGGCGCCACGTGAAGACGCCCAGGAGATTCTTGCATCACGCTTTCCGCTTCCGCGCTACGTTGACTGCGATCAGGGCAGCTCGCAGGCCCGCTTCCTCCTCTCAAAGGTCAACCCTTCGCAGACACACAACACATTCAACACGGGCCAGGTACGCACCCGCACAGTGAGTGGCGCTTGCTTGGTTGGTTTGCTTGGTTTGTGTGTTGTGTGTGTGTGTGTGTGTGTCATGCGCTGCTACATCGGCAACAGACACCCCGCCATCCCACCTGAACTGCTCACCACGCATGACATCACCCTTCCCCGCACTCTATTCTCCTCTGTCTCCTTGAATTGCAGGATGGTGGCGGTGTGCCGGTGATCACGGACGACGTGAGCCTGCAGGTGTTTATGGAGCATCTCAAGAAGCTCGCCGTCTCCAGCTCATCGTAGCCAACACACACACACACACACGCACACACACACACACACACACATCTCCCCCATCTTGCCCGACTACCTTTGATCAGCGCTGCAAACCACTGCTGTGTGTCCGCTTCATCTGTTTTTTGCTTCTTTTTTTGCGTTTCTTTTGGTTCGTGTGCGCGTGTGTTATGTCGTGCTGTGCCTTTTGCATCGTGTTGTTTGTGCTGGTTGTGACCCCTTCCATCCATGGTTGTTTTATGGCTCCTCTCATGCTCCATGGTGTTAGGCCGTGCGTGATTGGTCGATGGGCTGTTTTGTTTGTTCGTGTGTTGGGGTGTGTGCATGCGCAGCGTGTGTTTGCCGGGCTGTGGTGGTTGGTGCAACGAGGTTACATGGCATGACACATTGCTGTTGCTGCACACACACGCCCCTCTTCCTTCTTGCAAACGCGCAATAGACATGCAAGCAGTGAAACAGAGAGGCTGCAAACACTTGTGGTCGATAACTTGTCGTTTATGGTCTTTGCGCTGAGCAGAGAGGGAGCACGGAGGGGGTGAAACGAGCACGCAAGATGCACGCAAACAAAAGAGCGGTTGTCATGGAACAACAACGAACGACAAACTACAAACAACGCGACAGTGACACAACTGGTGGCAGCAACAATATGCAGTCACACACCCTTCCTCCTCTCCTCAAACATCCCCATTCCCTTTCTTTCTTCGTCCATATGTTCATACATCCGAAGCACTGCCATCCAGCAACACACAGTAACAACCAGCAACCACACCACGACGACAAACCACGAACAATCACGGAACAGCCACGAACAACTACCGAACAACCACGAAGAACAGCCACAAGCAATCACGAACAACCGGCAACACAGCACCACGAACAACCACGGAACAGCCACGAACCACCAACAATCACCCTGCATTCAAGATGGCGCGAGCGCGGTGCCCTGTGTGCGCTCAGCAACAAGCCGCTGCTGTTTTGAGATTGCATTGATGAGAGCAGTTGGATTCAGGATGCCACTCAGCGTCTTCACAACAGGTGCGCCCGTGACCTCCTTGAACGTGAGTTGAACCATCAAGCCGCGGCTGCCAAGAACCTTTCCTGTCCGCTCAAGCTTCATCAGACGGCTCAGGTGGAAGCAGAACTTGCTGCTCATATGTGTGCATGCGTGAGAGAGAGAGAGAGAGTGTGTGTGTGTGTGTGAATGCGCGTGAGAGCGTGTATGAGGGTGTGTAGGAGGTGAGTGAGCATGTGCATGCGCACGTGTGCGGTGTCCTTCGCAAAACACATCGCATTTGTGTCGCACAGCACACATCAAAACCTTCAGCCCAAGGCAACTCAACACCCCGACCCCACCCCCCACCCCTTAAAAAAAAAAAAAAACGCCAGCAGCGGGTGTGCATACCTGTCATCCTTGCTGTTTGGCATGAAGCAGAAGAATGTGTCTGTGACCCAGAGGCGACCACGGCGGAGATTCGTGAGCCGGCGGTCCGGCATGTAGAAGCACTGGTTCGTCTCGATGATTTGCTCCCTGCGCCACAAACGCACGCACGTGCACACGCAGACGACGGAATTCGGGTGATGTAGACGACGGGTGAGGAAGCAGGCGGGAAAGCAGACAGACAGGTAGGCAACGATACGGGCCGATTGATCGTACACACACACACACACACACACACGCACACACACACACACACACACACACACACACACACACACGCACACGCACACGCACACACGCACACACACACGCACGCACGCACACACACACACACACACACACACATTCGAGTCACGACTCACGAGAGCGGGACGCCCAAATCGCACAGGACATCGCCTTCCGAGCGCTCCTGCGTTTTCCGCAGGCTTTCACTCCGAGTGCGCCCTTCATCGTCGTGCTGTGATGACCCACGAGCAGCACCAGCGCTGTTGCCATTGGCACCACCGCCGCCGCTGCTGCTGCTGCCGTCTCGAAGTGGGCTCGGTGATGCGGTGTGCTGTGGACGTCCACGGAAGCGAGGGCGGCGCGGCGAAAACGAGCGGCCAGACGACCCCTGACCACCCCCATCGCCATCACCAATACGGTCGCGGTCACTGGCAGCAGCAGCAGAAGCGGCGGCGGCGGCGGCGGTGCGAGCTCGGCGCTCTGCCTGGACGTTGGTGGGCAGCTTGTCAATGAACTTGTTGGAGTCGTACTTCTCGCGCAGGCGCGGGTAGTTGTGGTAGAGGCCAGGCTGCACCAGGAAGCGCACGCCAATCACAATCTGAAGCAGCGGTGCGGGGGAAGCACATGGTGTTGTGTGAAGCACCACGACCATAGGAAAGGGTGGCACAACAGCAACAGCAGTAACAACAGCAACAGGAGCAACAGCAGTAACAGCAGCAACAGGAGCGAAAACGAGAGCATAACAGGAGCAGCAGCACCAACAACAGGCTGTTCGTCACACACAGACACACACAGACACACAGACACACAGCGTGTGCAACCTTGAGGAGGGTGAGCCAGAACCACTGTGGGGTGAAGAAGGTGAGGAGAAACGCGGCCAGGACGCCAATGAAGAGCTTCAAGGACTGCTCGGGTGCGCGCCACAGCAAGAGATTGTGGATCTTCTCAATGTGGTCGGCGGCCTTGCCCACCCCATTCTGCACACGTCGCATAATCTGCACGCAAACGTGGGCACACGAGCATGTGAGTCCGTGGGCACGCGAACCAACAGTGTGGTTCTGCGCACGGTGGCATTCAAACGCAACAAATGACGAACAAGCACGCTCACGAGAATGAAAAGAAAGCATACATGCATCCCTTTCCACCACACACACACACACACACGCACACACACACACATGCACACATACACACACGCACCTCCTTGACTGCGCGGGCCTTTTCGATCAGGGACCTGTCATCGTCGTCGTTCTCAACGGCAGGAGTGCGGTGCGGCTGCCGCTGGTGGCGGAGATAGTGCACGCCAAGGAAGCTCAGCAGGCCAGCAAGCATGACAGGCAGCAGCATGTTGTAGTAGGCGCAGACGGAGTACACGGTGAGCGCCGCTGCACTCTGGTAGGGGTTCTCCCAGTGCATGATGCGCAGGACAGCGTGGTGGCCGTCGATGGCGGGTTGGAGTGCACGTTTGAGGCGCTTGAAGTTGCGCACCAGCAGATGCCGGTTCAGAGCAGCGCCATCGTCCTCAACCTGGGTGCACGCACACACACACACACGCAATCATGAATGTGAGAGTGTTTGTGTGAACGTGTGTGTGTGTGTGTGTGTGTGTGTGTGTGTGTGTGTGTGTGTGTGTGTGTGTGTGTGTGTGTGTGTGTGTGTGTGTGTGTGTGAAACATGACATGTGTGTCATGTGCAGCATTCACAGCCAACAGCACTCGGGGCTTGACGGCTTATCAGCGGCTGCCACACGCATCTCGCATTCCCAACACTGCGACATGGGTGTGAAATATGCGCAGACCTCCTGTGTGATGGGGCGCGTTGGATTCTTCATCTCGGACACCACATCCACCACAAACTCCTGCCAGGATGTGACGTATTTGACGGCAGCGCCCGACACACGCTTCACCGCCTCCGACGTGGAGAGCTGGGTGTGGCCGGGTGCAGTCTCGGGTGACACGGCGCGTGGCGATGCATCAACAGGGGACGGGGACTGCGATGAGCCGCCGCGCCGCTGGCCTGTTCTGTCGCCCCCGTGGCGCACCTCCACAAACCCGTCATCCGCGTCGCTTTCATGAATGACGGCGTTGTCGTTGGGGTCGTCGTCAATGTCCAGGAGATCATCGTCGTCGTCCTTGGGCGAAGCACCGCGACCACTTGGTGTGTTGTCACCTGCATCTTGCTGTGGCTCATCGTCGTCAACATCATCGACATCGACGTCGTCGTCGTCGTTCTCCCCGTGATCATCCACGTCCATCACAGGATCGAGGGCGTGTGCTGGTGGTGCACTTGCATGCGCTTCATCGCTGCCGCTGCTGTTGCTGGACGTGGTGGTGTTGGCCGTGGCCGTGGACGCCGAGGACGACAAGGAGGCTGGCTCTTCGTCCGCCATGATGGTGTGTGTGTGTGTGTGGGGGGGGGTGTTGTGTGGGAAAATGGACGCGCGTGCGTGTGTCTTCGCTGTGTGCTTGCTGTTGCTGTGTGCTTACTGTGGAGTGTGGGTTTTTGAGCAGTCGAGCCGCTCACGCCTGAGTGTGCGGTGTTCGTTCCGTGCGGGTTGGTTGATCGATCATGCGCTGGCTGGCACACTTCTGCAGCTGCTGGTTTTTGTTTGTGTTCGTGTGTGTGAAATGATGACGGGGAATGCTTGCGCTTCTTGCTTTGGCCTTTTCTTGGCACCACTGAATTCAGTTGTTGCGTTGCAATTTGCGTCATCCAGGCGTGCAATTCGCAAAACCCACAACTGAAAGCGAGAGTGCGAGTGGGTGGTGCGCTTGCTTGCTTGTTCGCTGGTGCTGGCTGCTGTTGTCCCCTTGACCCCCTCATCACCACGACAGCTTTCAACGACGACGTGAAAGCGTGCGGAGGGCAGCCAACCAACACACGCCAGGCCAGCCATGGACCCGAGTGATCCACACGAGGCAACAGAAGCCAACAAGAACAACAAGAACAACAACAGCACATCAGAAGCGGCACGTGCTTCACAACAATCACAACCGCAGCATCAAGACGCCCACTCAACGTCAGCATCATCCCCAGCACCACCACCAACGTCAATGAAGCCACAGCAACAACAGTCAGCTTCCAAGACAAGCACTAACCCCTTTGATGCGTCGTGGGTGCCGCCCCCAAACGCTTTCTCATCCTCAGCACCAGCGATAACGACAACAGCGACGCCACCCGCATCCACCTCAGCGAGAGGTGAAGGGTCTGCAAGCGACACAACGCGCACACCAAATGGCACAGCTCACGCAGCCAGCAGCGCCACAAGCGAGGTCGTGGTTCGGGTTGCCGACGGCGCCACACCACGCCGCGAGCAGCAGCAGCAGCAACAGCAACAGCAGCAGCAGCAGCAGCAACAGCAGCCTAATGTGTCAAACACACTGTCGCCAACGGATGCCGTGTCATCACCGAAAGACAAGAGTGATGATGGAGAAAGCAAAGGGGACGATGGCCACGGGCAATCAAGTGGGCGCCGCAGCCGCGCGTCGAAGCGGTCCAAATCCAAGCGCCGCAAGCCCACGTTCATGACATATGCCATTGCCGGCGAGGAGCAGGCTGCAAAGGGCGACTACGACCGTGCCATTCAGCTGTTTCTCCGCGCCATCAAGATGGGCACCGACATGGAGGAGGCCTTTGCCGCAGCAGTCTCACAGGTAGCGCATGCGTCTCTGTGTATGCATGTGTGTGTGTGAATCTGAGTGAATGTGCATGTGTATCTGTGTATCTGTGTCTCTGTGTATGCGGTATCTCTGTTCCTCTTCCTCTGCGTGTGTGCATGTGTGCCCTCCACCCTTCCTCCCTCCATACTTTGCACTTGATCTCACCAGCTCATCTCCCATCACACGTGCACTTGCTTGGGCCAATGCCCTGGTGCAGCTGGCGCTGTGCTACTATGCGAAAAAGGATTATCGCCAGGCCCTGCGCTTCCACAAGCAGGAGCTCCTCAGCCACAGAAACATGGCAAACAAACGCAGCGAGGTGCGTGCGCATCTGGCCGTGTATGCGTGTGGGTATTCACGCTTGTGGGGGGGGGGGTGCGTGCGTGCGCATGTGTGCAGGTACCTCTCTGTCTGTCTCTCTATCTGTCTCTCTATCTGTCTCTCTCTCTCTCTCTCTCTCTCTCTCTCTCTCTCTCTCTCTCTCTCTCTCTCTCTCTTGCTCTCTATGCCTGAAACAATTGCAGTTTGTTGTGTACATGTTGCTGTGCTCGCAACCGTTCACACGATCCCGTGCACTGCCACCACCACCACCACCACCACCAGGCAAAGACGTATGCGCACCTGGGCAACACGTACAAAGGGATGGGCGATCTTGAGAAGGCGTCGGAGTGCTACCAGCGTAGTCTTCGCATTGCCAAGTCCTGCGGTGACTCGGCGGCACAGGCACGCGCCCTCGACAGCATCGGTACGCGCAGCAGTGGCGTGTGTGTGTGTGTCTATTCGTGCGTGCATGCATACGCGCGCATGTGCGTGTGTGATTGTGTCTTTCCTTCTTCCTGTGCCGCAACATCCTGTCATCACCAACCATCTACACCCCTCCCCAACACACACACACACACACACACACACACACACACACACACACACACACACACACACACACACACACCTTCTCCTTTCGCTGCAGGCAACGTGTACCACATGCTTGGCAATGCGTGCGGGCTTGAGGAGAGCATGGGGCGGCTCACAGAGCCGAGGGACCACAACGCCTTCAACAGCGCCGTCAAATACTATCGCAAGGTCTCATGCACGTGATTGTGTGTATGTTTGTTTGTGTGTGTGTGTGTGTGTGTGTGTTGTGTGTGTACATGTACGTGCGTGTATACATGTGCGTTGTGTGGTGTTGGTGATTGTGTTTATGTGCATTGATTTCAGTGTTCAATGCATGCTTGTGTGAGCGCGCTTATTTGTGCCAGTCTCTTGTCTGATGCATGTGTGATGTTCTGCACATTGCTGGCTGACCGTTTTTTTTTCGTCCACGTGTTGTCACAGACGTTTGGGAGGAAGAACAAAGAGCTGGATCCTAGCGGGTTGGGGCGTGCGTGTGGGCATTTAGCCAGCACGTATGAACGTGTCAAGGACCTTGAGTCTGCGTTTAGATTGTATGAGAAGAAACTCAACATTGCAATCAAGGTGAGACTGAGGCAAGGAAATGGCCTGTGGTTGTCCGTCTCACTCGCTGTGTGCACGTGCGTGCGTGCGTGCGTGCGTGCGTGCGTGTGTGTGTGTGTGTGTGTGTGTGTGTGTGTGTGTGTGTGTGTGTGTGTGTGTGTGTGTGTCTGCGTGCATGTGCGCTGTGTCTGCGTGCACGTGTTGTGTTGGCTCGCTCATTTTCTTTTTCCTGCTTCTTTATTCACCACGATCACCGCCATCCCAACCCCTGCTGCAGTACAACGACTTAGCTGGACAGTCGCGCGCGTACAACAGTCTTGGAAACGTTCGCCGCATGCAGGGACGATTCCAGGAGGTGAGCTGTAGCACATGGCTTCATTGGTGGTGGTCACGGATAACATGTGTTCACATCAACAGCATCATGGTGTTTGCACGTGTCATTTTCGAATTGAATTGCACTGTGTGCATGTCAGCAATGACCTTGACTTCTTGCGCTTCCTTCCTTTCAAACACACACACACACACACACACACACACACACTCACACACACACACACACACAAACACACAAACACACTCAGGCAATCCGATATTACGACCTGGACCTTGAAGTTGCTCGCAAGCTCGGGGACAAGCAGAGCGAGGCCATCACGCACAGCAACCTGGGCAGCGCATACCAGGCGTTTGGCGACTACGAGCACGCATTGCAGCACCATGCGCGGCACTTGGAACTCATGGAGGAGCTGGACAACAAGAGCGGGCTGGCGGGCGCACACGGAAACATTGCAGCCATGTACGAACACAGGCGCAACTACACCAAGGTGACTGATTCGAGGGAGTATGTGAGGAGAGGCAGAGAGAGAGAGAGAGGTTGTGTGTGTGTATGTGTGTTTGTGTGTGTGTGTGTTTGTGTGTGTTTGTGTGTGTTCGTGGAGATGAAGCCCTCTTTATGGCCCTGTTGCATTCGCTCACTGCGCGCTTGTGCATGTACTTGTGTGCCTACATGTGTATGCGTTCTTGTGATGGTTTCCCAAGGCTGCTGAGCACTACCAGCAGAACATTTCCCTCTCACAAGCGCTTGAGGACAAAGTTGGCGAAATGCAGGTGTGTGTGTGTGTTTGTGCGTGTGTGCGCGCGTGTGTGTTTGTGCGTGCGTGTGTGTGCATGTGTGTGTGTGTACGTGTGTGTGTGTGTGTACATGTGTGTGTGTACGTGTGTGCCTGCTTGAAGTGTGATGTCACGCGCAAACTCACGACCACCCCCACGATCACCTCATTGTTATGTGCGCCCCACCACCCACACGCCGTTGATTAGGCGCGAGAGCACCTGGCGCGCGTCACACGATACATGGAGCAAGGCATCCAAGTCATCGACATGGATGTGAGTGCCCCCTCTGATCACACCCGCCCTGTTCACGCCACCGTGGCCTGTTCATCCCACCATTCACCACCAACTGACACCACACCACACCTCGTCACCCTCTGCGTTGCCACAGGGCTCGAGTCAGCGCTCGCTTGCGCTCAAAGCGCCGCGCGCACTTCGGAAGGCGACAGTTCGTGGCATCTCCACGCTCTCACGCAAACTCATGCCAGGCAGCGTTCGAAGGTGGGGACGTGGGTATCATGTGAATGTGTGCATGTGAATGTGTGCGCTTGTGTGGATACAAATGTGCGAGGTCTACGATTGCCAGTTCTTCAGTTATCACGCCACTCGTCACGTCACACACCACTCAACACCCTCCCCACAACTACTCTTGTTAGAAGCGACCAGCGTCGGCCAAGCATCAACGACATTGGCTGGGACCAGGACGGGTCCATCTCCCTCGCCGACATGGCCACCAAGGAGGGCGTCGTGCTGCGCGATAACGTGAGTGTTGCGCGTGTGCAATTACACGCAGAGAGCCCACGCGTGTGTGTGTATTTTCGTGCGAGAGTGAATTTTCGTGTGTGTGTGTGTGTGTGTGTGTGGCTTTGATTGATTCAGCACTGCCTGACTTTCGCTGAGACTTTCACTCCACACCCCCTCCCCGGCACGTGCATCTCACCATTTATTCTTCTGTGCGTCTGTGCGCTTGTGTGTGTGTGTGTGTGTGTGTGCGGCTGTGCGTGTGTCTCTGCGTGCACGTGTGTCTCTGCGTGCACGTGTGTCTCTGCGTGCACGTGTGTCTCTGCGTGCACGTGTGTCTGTGTGTGCACGTGTGTGTGCATCACCTCCAGTCTGCGAAACAGCGATCGCGTCGGGCCGTTTCAATGTCGTTTGCACGCCGGAGTCAGCACGTCAAGTCGAGCAGTGACAGCGAACAAACTACCAGCGAAGACGAAGGCGTGCGTGTGCATGTGTGCGTGTGTGTTCGCGCGCGTGTGTGTATGTTGGGCCATGGATGAACAATACCATGTGCCTGCATAGTTTTGTTGTGTTGTGCACGTCAACAACGTGTATTCGCGGTATGCTTCCCTGTCTGTTCACCCATCACCTCAATACCATCCATGTACATGCCTTGCGAGCAGGAGAGTGGGGTGCAGTTGCGCAAGAACCGATCGAAGCTGCGCACAGCAAGAAACAGGCTGTCATCCCTCTTCTCCAAGGTGGGTGCGCGTTATTGCTTGACCACACGTGTAATGGATTGTGCTTTCCAACACACCACACAGGTCATCATCATCATCATCATCATCATCATCATCATCATCATCATCATCATCATCATCATCACAAACACACACACTCGCGCGCACAATTGCGACCATGTGCACACACTCTCACTCTCACACTCACCACCCCCACAACCACCACAACCACCCACAGCGCCACACAATGTCGTATGACAATGACGAGAGCAGGATGAGTGTGAACCGTGGGGCCATCTCCTCTGCGCTTCAGTTCGATCCAACGCATGCGCAGTCCGCGTCTTCGTCGTCAGGCGCCCCTCCCATCGCAACCACCTCCCTGTCAACCGTCACCACAGCAACCACGCTCTCGCTAGGAAGCAGCACTGCAAGCGCAAGCACAGCTGCAAGCGCTGATGTTGGTGCTGGTGCCAGCAGGCGAGGTGGTGTTATCCTCAACGACGACGATCACGACGACGACGACGACCACAACGATGATGGTGCTGCCCGTCATCATGTTGCCGCTGGTGGGCGCGTCGCATCCACGAAACAGGTGAAGAAAGTGCAGTGCAGCGGCCGTGTCGTGACCGTGGCTGCATGTATGCTGCTTGAAACCTTCCGCAACACTCAAGAGACACACACACACACTTGCCCTCACTCACACACACACACAATCACACACACACACAATATCACTCGCTCACTCGCATACTCACTCACTCACTCACTCACTCACATACTCACTCACTCACTCACATACTCACACACTCACACACACTCGCTCATTCCCGCACCACCTCCATTGCTCTGCAGCCTGCTGTTGTCGAGGGTAAATCGGGAACGGACGCGACGGAAGCAAACCCGCGTGCCCCCGCCACCATCTCGTTCACACCAAAGGTGCTGAGGACAGTTGCAGGGGAGAGCACCGCGCCACAGCAGGTGGAGTTTACAGACAGCCCGCCGCCACGCCGCATCAACGTCAGGCCCTCCCCACATGTCGACCGCAAAGTGGGTAGTGGTGTTTGTGTGTGTGTGCGTGTGTTTGTGCGTGCGTGCGTGTGTGTGTGTGTGTGTTTGTGCGTGCGTGTGTGTGTGAGTGTATTGAGTGTGTATCGGGTGTGTGTGCGTGCGTGTGTAGTGCGTGGTTTTGTTTGATTGTGTGTATGGTGTCTGGATTCAATGTCTTCCCTCAGAACTGAACACTTTTTTCCATTCACCCCTCACCACCACCACCCCTCACCACCAACAGCACGGCGCCCCATCGGACGGCGGATATCTCGAAATTGCGGGCGCTCCCGAGGTCGCGATCAGACAACAACAGCAACACCAACAGCATCAACAACAGCGGCAACAGGCAGGAGATGACGATGAGGAGGAGGAGGAGCAAAGCCCTGTGCCTGACATGTCCACACCAGAGGGTAAGCGTTGAGTATTCATGGTTGTGGGCGTGCTCTTACTCGATCAATCGTTTGAACTTGCACACATATGCACACACACACCTCTTCGTTTCCCTCGTGTGCACGCAACAAGCCCCCCCCCCCCCTTTGCTCACCACTCACTGGCCCCGCCCCTTCCATGTTACCTGTACTTGTGCGACTGTGTCTTGTCTTCAGGTCAACTCATGGCGGCGATTCTGAGCTTCAATACTGTTGCCGGTGTGCATGATGAGAGCACGGAGGAGGAAGGCGAGGACGATCTTGCGAAACACGTCGTGCATGATGCAACAACAACAGCAGCAACAACAGCTGCAACAGCAGCACACGCGAGAGGGACTATGAACAAGAACAGCCGTGACACGAGCAGTGGCAGCAGCAGTCGAGGATCCTCAGCTGCCGCCACGCACCCGCCGGCACCGCCAACGCAGTTCTCAACGTCAACTACAACAGTGTCAACATCATCAGGGGTTGCAGCAGTGGAGGCGAAGGGGCGAGAGTCGCCCTTATCGCCTGTGCCCGGCCGGTTGTTGGCGCCAAATGCTACACGCATGAACAAGCCATCCCCTCTCGCAAAGGTGCGTCTGTGTCTGTGTGTCTGTGTGTGTGAATGTGTGTGTGTGTGTGTGCCAGCGTGTGAAGTCCATCAGATGTGTCTCACTTCCTTCTCTGGCCACGTGCGCGTGTGCATATGCACAGCGGGCGTGGGGTTCGGACAGCGAGAGCGAGGTATTCATGGCCGTCACGGCCAACGAAGCAGAGGATCCGTCGGAGCTCTCCTTTGAGGTGTGCAATGCTGATCGTGCATGTGTGTGTGTGCGCGTATTTTCGTGCGTCTGCCATGTTTTGTTCTTCAGCCATGCCTTTGTGCCGCTGCGTGTGCCCCCTACCACACTGACACTCACGTGCACTGTCATGCCTCTCTCTCTCGCAACCCCTTCCGCCACCCGTGCACACATCCGTGCGTGCAGGTGGGCGATGTATTTATTGACGTGAAGACGTTGCGAAACCCAAACGTTCTCCTTGGCACGCATGAAATCACGGGGCAGCGAGGTGCGTCTGCTGCTGTTGTTGTGCTTTTCTGCTTGTAAATTTGGTTGAGTGATGTCACCTTGTTTTCACTCACCATGAGTATCACACACACACACACACACACACACACACACACACACACACACACACACACACACACACACACACACACCAGGCATGATTCCTGCCGCGTGTGTGACAAAGCAGTTTACACCAAAGATGGAGGCTGAGACAGACCTGTAAACCAGAGGCCACTTGTGCTTGAGTGTCTGTCGTTTGTCACTCCCCGTTACATTTCCTCTCTTTCTTATCCGCCCATTCTTCCCATTCCCTCTCTTGACAATAGCATCCGCATCTGTGTGTGTGTGTGTGTGTGTGTGTGTGTGTGTGTGTGTCGCGTGCATGTGATTGGGGGTTTTGAACACCTTTACTTCCCTTCTTCTATTCCTGGTTTATTGTTTTGTTCCCTTCGAACATCATAACATTTTGTATTGTTGTATTGAACACGAGTCCCCACACAACCGCCAAAGCACACACACACACACACATACACACATACACACATACACACATACACACACACAGTTCAGTCTTCAAAGATTTCATCCTCAACCACACCATCACCATCACCATTGTCGTCGTCGTTGGTGAATGGTGGTGGATCAAGCGCGTACATGCAGTGCAGCACAAGACCGTCACCGCTCAGCAGACGAACAGGCAGCACGCACACGGGCGCACCGGCAAATAGCACCTCTTGCTGTGCGTCAAGGGCAGTGGCAAGGTCGCTCGCTTCCATCTCGTCGCACAGTACACGGCATGAGATGAGGTGAGCGCGGGCACACGTATCTGGCAGCCAGTCAGCAACCTGCCGCACGCACGTGTCCACCACCGCCTGCAACGTCGATGTTGATGATGGTGTTGTTGAAGTGGTTTGTGGGTGGGTGTAGCACGCTTCTGCTGGGACGTGCACGTGGACGAGTGCGTGCATGTCTGCTACGACCGCTGTCGCCCTTGCGCGTCCGGAATTGTTTGGCAATGGCAAGTCACGCTGCTGCTGGACGACGGATCCATCTGTCACCGCCGTGAAGTGCCATTCAACCTGTGCATTGTGTGTGTGTGTGTGTGTGTGTGTGTGTGTGTGTGTGTGTGTGTGTGTGTGTGTTGCGTTTGCGATGTAAGCAACAATCATTGGTGTGCGAGTAGTGTCGACAACATGCCCAGCGAACATCACAGCGTTTTATCACAAAGCCCGCACGCCCACCGTGCCCAACCTCAGCATGCTTGGGCAAGTCCGGCACCACGCAGTACGCTGTTGACGTCTCTACGGAGATTGGGAGCGGTGAAGCGCTTTTGCGCGGATCAAACGCAAAACGCTCGTCGTGATCTGCGTTTGAAACGGCCCTGGAAAGCACTTGCTGACACTGAAGGATGGCAAGTAAATGTACATTGAATGAGTGCGCGCGAGTGGGGTGAGGGGGTGAGTGGGGTGAGAACGAGAAAGAACCATGTTATTCATGCACGTGCGCTCACAGGGTGTGTCACCATGTTGATCACAACTCGTTTCAAAACGTACGTGTGGAAGCAGAGACGCATGGCGGAGAAAGCAGATGCATGACAGCGTGTGCTGCAGCGTCAGGCCGTGCGCTTGCAACACGCGTTCAACACTCCTCAGCGACAGCGATGCCTGCAAGCAGCAGCCACATTCAGGTGAGGGCATGTACAGTTCGCACGCCACAGGCTTGAGGCACGACACTTTTCATTCTGGGCACGATACACACAGGTAGACACACACACACACACACACACACACACACACACACACACACACGCACGCACACACACACACACACACACACACACACACACACACACACACACACGCACGCACGCATACACACACTTGCTGTTCAGGTGTGCGTGCAAGGGTCATGGACGATGGGTGGAGGCCAATCTGTCCAGCCATAAACAACACGCCACCAGCCTGCAATCAATCACGTGTGCACACGACAGGGAATTGTGAGAGCAAACAAGTTTGCACACGAGCATGCAACAACATCCAACAACATTGTCAAGAAATGCAATGTCTGCACAATAGCCGTCAACATGTACGAGCAATGAGCATCCACGCACACCTCCACTGCCTGGCTGTAGGGCCCGATGTTCGCGGGCGCCCAATGCGAGAGGCCCTGCACGTGCATGTGTCGTGGTGGTGGCAGCGGTGGTGCTGATGACATGGATGTGTCGCTGTCTAGTGGCGGTTTGAAAGCAAACGCTTCAATCACAAGCGGACACGAGGGAGGCAGCGCTTCCTGCACACACACACGCGATGGAGGGTTGGTTCCTGCGCGCGTGTGTGAGTGGTTGGTGATGTGTGTATGTACGTGTATGCACGTATGTGTGTGTGCGTGCGCGTGCATGTGGTGTGTGTGTGCGTGCGTGCGCATGCATGTGGTGTGTGTGTGCGTGTGTGCGTGTGCGTACGCGTGCATGTGATGTGTTTTGTGATGTGTGTGTGTGTGTGTGTGTGGTCATGTGTGGTGAGAAGCGGTGATATGCTGAGGTACAAGGTCATGTAACATGAACGAGATCAACCAAAAGCAAGAACAACACCTCCTCCCCTCCTCCAGCCTTCACTGGCCACACACGAGCAGCAGAAGCCACGGCCTCACCAAAGTGCCTGATGTACTCTGCGTTGATGGCTGCAAACTGCGCCATGTCACGGACGGTGAGATTGATGTGTCGCACATCGTGGAAACTGAACCCCCGCAGGGACAGCTCGGCATCAAGAGCTTGTAGTGAGGCTCGCACACGCGCGCACACCTGCTCGTCCAACCCCGATGAACTGTCACCCTGGTGTTGCTGCTGGTGTCGTGGGGACTGTGGCTGTGGCGTGGTGTGCGTGGAGTACGGAGATGGGTAGTTGACGCAGACGGCGAGCCAAGGACCAGCGGTCTTGCTTTCAACCCGGGGTGGTGCTGGCTCGTGGGCCTCGCCAGTGACATTCACGTCTTCGTCGCCGACTGCATGTACACTTGCGTCCGCAGCCCGAGCGTGCGTGTCCTGCTCTTGCTCAGCAGCTTGCGTCGCCCCCTCCGCTTCATGCCCCTGCCCCTCACCCACTTCCTCGTCCGCTGGTGCCCTCCAGTCCGTGCACCCTGCCCTCTCCAGCAGCTGCCGCGCATATGCGACCAGGTCTTGGTGTGACGACGGCGGCAGCTCATCCTCCGTCTTGTCCTCAAGCGCAATTTCCCCCAGCCGGAGGTATCCGACGGGCGCAAAGGCGTCATCCGAGTGCATCACCACGCGCGTGTTGGTGGGTACCAGTCGTTTCTTGAACAGCGGACCGTCAACGGTGAACGTCTCGTACTCGCCACCCTCGCCACACACGTGCAGGTCAAACTCGCCGTGCAGCCGGTGCAGGAGGGGTTGCAATGCTGATAGCGGCTTTCCGCAGTGCTTGCGCGGGTTCAGCCCCATGGCAGCCACCTGATGCATGCCATGTGCGTGTGTGTGTGTGTGGTTTGTGTGTATGTGTGTGTGTGTGTGTGTGTGTGTGTGTGTGTGTGTGTGTGTGTGTGTGTGTGTGTGTGTGTGTGTGTGTGTGTGTGTGTGTGTGTGTGTGTGTGTGTGTGTGTGGTTGTGTGGTTGTGTGTGTGTTGGGGGGGGTCATGGTTGTGAGGTTGACGTTCCCTGTTCAACACTGTGCCACGACTGGGAAAAACACGGCGCAAGTGATGCAACCTCCGCTTGCACATGGAGCAGCACCTTGATGACGATGGGCTGGAGGCCAGTGTCGAGCATCTCAGCAAGTAGCGACGGCTGCGACCGCTGCCAGAGGTAGGAGAGAGCGGTGAGGTTGAGGCGGGAGCAGATGTTCTCCACGCGCGTGCGCTGGTAGTCGGAGAGGATGGCGCCGACGGAGACGCCCTTCACGGTTGGATGATGCTCCAGCACGGTCTGTAGCAGCGCTACCAGGTCCTCCACTTCGTCGCCCTGCGTCTGCTCGTACGTCTGCACAGTGCAAACAGCAAGGGGTGAGGTTGGGGGGGGGGGGTTGATGGGAGATGGTGGTGGGAGGTGTTGGTGGGAGGTGTTGGGAGGGAAGAGAGAGAGAGAGAGAGAAGGGGGTGAAGCAGAAGGTGGGGGGGGGGGCGCTCCCTGATACACCCTAATACACTCGATTGCGCGCGCGCGCACACAAACAAAACAACACACACACACACACACACACACACACACACACACACACACATACGACGCGCACCTTGCTTGTATCGACGCTCCCTCCTGTGATTGTGGCGCGATAGAGTGGAAGCTCGAGCGCCTGTGCCAGGCGGGTGATTGCTTCGTGGCCGACGGTCTGGTACATGTAACTGTCCACCTCGTCTGCACACACACCAACCGCCCGCAGTGCCACATGAGCGTGTGAGCGAGACAGCAGGTGGGCAGATCCAAGCACGAGCGGAAGAAGCCCGCATCAAGGTGAGGAGGCAGACAATCACACACAACTACGCGATCACATCACGTGCACCTTGATCTTGCGGGGGAGCGATGTTCGCCAGGGCAACAATGCGGTGCCCTGCAGCTACACAGTGCAGCATGTTGTGGCAGCTATCCTTGCCGCCGCTCACCAATGCGACCACATCCATCACTGCCGGTCGGTGCAAGCGAGTCAGACAGCGAGGGTGTGTGCGCGCGTGTGTGTGTGTGCCTCTTGTGCGTGTGATGTTTGCTGTCCTTCTGCTTGGTCTTCTTCTTGTGCTTTCGCCGTTGCTGTTTTTCTTCACCAGCAAGCAACAACTCACTCATCTCGCTCACTTGCACCACAGGCTCGCTTGCTTCTTGAGTGGACGCTGGAATCACTGGAGTGGAGAGAGGGATCGAAGCCACGATGTCGTCGTCGTCGTCGTCGTCCATACCAAAGAAGACCTTCTCCTGGCTCAAGTTCTTCATGAGCTGCAGCATCCCAGGTGACGCTCGCGAGTGCAACAGAGGGTGTGTGTGTGTGTGTGTGTGTGTGTATGAATGTGTGCGTGTCTGTGTGTCTGTGTCTGTGTCTGTGTCTGTGTGTGTGCCTCACTCACACACACACACACACTCTCTCTCTGTGCATATGGTGTACTCATGGCATCTTGCTTGTGTTGCGTGCACGTTCAACAGAGGAGATGGCGCAAACGTACACGGAGGTGTTCAATGACAACCACATGAAGTCGGATATGCTCGCTGATCTCGACAAGGAGATCCTCCAGGTTGTTGGCCGAACGCGCCCCCTGAGAATACGCTTTTGAAGAACACACACGCACACACACACACACGCACACACACACACACACACACACACACACATACACACACGCACGCATACATACTCACTCACGCACGCACGCACGCACGCACGAATTCATCATAGGATCTCGGCATTGTGAGCATGGGTCACATCATCCGGATCCTGAAGCGGGCAAAGGCGTTGATTGAGTATCAGGAGAAGCAGCGTGCAAAGGCACGGCGATCGCAGCAGCCCGAGGCCAGCGACACGCAACAGCAACAGCAGGATCAACAGCAGGATCAACAGCACCAGCATGAGGAGCACCAACCAGCACAACACATGCATCATCACCAGCAGCACCAGCAGCACCACCAAGCCCTTCCAAGTGCACAGCACGGCATGGTGCAAGCGCAGTATCCAGTGTATGGCGGTGTACCCGTGACGTATGCGCCCCACCAGCAGTATGTGCAAGAGCAGCAACAGCAGCCGCAGTCATACGTGCAGCCGCATGGCCAGTATGACCCTTCGCAAGCGCAGATGCTGCACGCGCAACAGCAGCACGCGTATGCTGTCACCTCAGAACACCATCACCCTGACCAAGCAGTCCATGCACACCACCCACAGGCTGCGGTGCCGCATGCCGATCACGATGAGCTGCAGCAAGTGCCCGCATCTCGTGTCAAAGTCACTCCAACAGTACGTCCCGTGTGTGTGTGTGTGTGTGTGTGTGTGTGTGTGTGTGTGTGTGTGTGTGTGTGTGTGTGTGTGTGTGTGTGTGTGTGTGTGTGAATCATGGCCCACGCGTGACTGCGTTGATTAACCCATGCATACCTCATGTATGTGTGTGCGTTTGTGTTCAGGGGTCGCGGGTCTGTTGGTGCGCAGATGGATGCCGTCGACTCAGACAAGCAACTGCACACGTATGTATACGCGTGCATGTGTTGCTTGATGTTGCTCACTTATTCGCCTCATGCACGACAAGGCCAAGCCACGACAACGATGCTCACTTCTTGTGCGTGTGCGTGTGCGTGCGTGTGTGCGTGTGTGTGTGTTGCTGTGTCTGGTCACAGGGGCCGGCTCGCACCTCAGACGAAGAAGAACGGCAGCAGCAAGAACAACAACGCCAGGCACAAGAACAGCAAGAAGCGAAACAGTGGTGGTGCTGCTGCTGGTGCGACTGGTGGCAGTGGCGGTGGTGCCAAATCCATCTTCAACCGCCTCTCCAAATAGTTCCCACTCTTGTGTTTGTGTGTCTGTGTCTGTGTTTGTGTGTCTGTGTCTGTACGTGTGTGTACCTGTGTGTCTGTGTCTGAACGCGTGTCTCTGTGTGTCTGTGTCTGAACGTGTGTGCCTGTGTTTGTGTGATGGTGCCACAAACGGATGGGCCACAATACACTTCTCTGTGCTTTCATAGACCCGTGCTGAACGCGACACACACACACACACACACACATGCACACACACATGCACACACACACACACATGCAAACATGCACACACACACATATGCACACACGACCCACATGCATACACGACCCGTCCAAACACATACACAGACTGAACAGCATGCGTCCACCTCGTCCATTTCCCTTCCTCCCATCACCACCCACACGTGCCACTGAGATGGCCATTCTCACACGAAAGAATGATACGCACGCCTGTATTCGACCCATGTGATGGCACGCCACGGTAATCACAACACACAAAACTCACCAGCACACATGGACAGGACGCAAGACGCACACGCACGGCCATACAGGCAAGAACGCCACACACACACACACACAACGACAACACAGCGAACATACGATACGAAAAGTACAACGTGTTTCCAAGCAGCTCTCTTAGTCGTAGGAGACGAAGCCTGCAGTGTACAGGAACGGGGAGAGACGTGGGTGCGTTTGTCGTGAGCATTCAACTGGCTAGGGAGGGGGAAGGACAGTGGAGGAAAGGCAAGGGACAGCTGTGGATGCAAAGGGTGAACCGTTGCGCATGCATACAGGTTTACGCATGCACGCGTACGCACGCACACACACACACATACGCACATATGCGTACCTTCTTTGTACTTTTGCCTCTCCTTGTTATCCCTGTCGCTCGCCACATACATTGCGCCACAACCTGCACATGATCAGCACAAAGTGGGTGGGAGTAAGCAGCGTGAGGTCAGTGACAACAGTGCATGTGGTGCGCTCCAGTCGTTATACACGCCAGATGTCACATGACAATGTCCTGGAGACTCGAGCAAACTCCAGATGCACCCACAATGACACCCACACGCACAATGACACACACACACACACGCATGCACACGCACACACACACACACACACACGCACACACACACACTTGCACATTCACATTCATATCACACAACATGACACGTGGACTGACCGAGGACGGCCATTGCCGTTGCTGCAACCAGCACGGGTTGTCTGTGATAGGTCTTCCACGTCCACCGCATGATGCCGGCAACGTTGATCTCGTTGCTCAGCGCACGGAACATGTTGGGCTGCTCGCCTCCGCCTGCCATCTCGTGTGCTGCTAGTGGCTGTAGGTTGGTTTGGTTTGGTGTGGCTGTCTGTATCTGGTGGTTGGTTTGTGTGGTGGTGTATATTTTTTTTATTCTGCTCTTGTGGTTTTCGCTGACTCAGCAGGAATTGGAGCCATGGGGCGCATGAAGAAGAAGGCACGTGGTTTTGGTGCCTGTGTTGGATGCGTGCTGTGTGTGTTGTGTGTGTGCCTGTGTTGGATGAGTGTGCTGTGAGTGTTGTGTGTGTTGGATGCGTGTGTGTGTGTGTGTGTGTGTGTGTGTGTGTGTGTGTGTGTGTGTGTGTGTGTTGGATGCGTGTGTGTGTGTGTGTGTGTGTGTTGGATGCATGTGTATGTGTGTATGTGTGTGTGTGTGTGTCTGTCTGTCTGTCTCGCTGCTTCTCAGCCTCTCCCTATCTCACCCGCTCCAATCCATCTTCAACTCGCTCGCTTCCCCTTGACCCTCCCTCTCCCATCAACAGGGACAGGCCGGCACGGCCGTGCAGTACATGACACGCTCAGCTGCACTGAGAAAGCTGCAGCTGAACCTGGCAGACTTCCGGTGCGTACATGTGGGTGGACACGAGTGAGCACGGCCAAATGCGTGCATGTGATCCCTTGCTCGCTGTTTCTGAATTGCTGATGGCCCATCGCCTTTGACCTCGCTGTTGCGATCTTTCAAGTCACACGTGCACACACAGACACACACACAGAGACAGAGAGAGAGAGAGACAGACACACACACACAGACTTACACACACACACACGCATGTCATCTCTCACCACGACACCCCCCCCCCCCCTCCTCTGCCCTGCCCAACCATGCTTGATGTTTCAGGCGCTTGTGCATCTTGAAGGGCATCTACCCTCGCGATCCTGCCAACAAGAAGAAGGTGTGTGCGATAACCTGCGATCGCATTCACGATGCTGGGAAGGGATTGAAGCCAGCTCAACAGTGTGTGTGTCTGTGTGTGTTTGTGTGCGTATGTGCGTCGCTCTCTCCTCCCTCTCTCTCTCCCTCTCTCCCTCTCTGTACGCTCGCGCTCACTCCTACATGCCTGTACAACCACAACACGCACACACATCCGCCATACAGCTGCCTGGCGCGCGCGCACACAGAACGTACTACTTTACAAAGGACATCAAGTACCTTGCCCATGAGCCGCTCATTGACAAATTCCGCGAGCTAAAGGTGTTCTCGCGCAAGCTGCAAAAGGCGCTCGCCAAGGGGCAGCCCGGCATGGCAAAGTCCCTGCGCGAACAGGAGCCCGAGGTCAAAATCGACCACATTGTTCGCGAGAGGTGCGATCGCCTTCAGGGAATTGTCGGGGTTGGTTGGTGTATCTGTCAGGGGGATGTCGGAAAGAGGATGAGAGCTACCGTGTGCGCATGAGAACGAGTGATGCCATACTAGTCCGTGTTCACACACACACACACACACTCTCTCTCTCTCTCTCTCTCTCTCACACACACACACTCATACTCACTCGCACACGCACACTCGCTCTCTCTGCGCTTGCTTGAACACCTCCTCTTTGGCCTACTGTTCATCCCACCACCCACACGTGCCGCAGGTACCCCTCGTTTGTGGACGCCCTGCGTGATCTGGACGACTGCCTGTGCATGATCTTCCTCTTTGCAAACTTCCCGCAGCACAAGGACATCCAGGTGCGCTGCCATGGCTGGTGCACTGGAGTGTGCATGTGTGTATGTGTATGTGTATGGCTACACATGCGTTGTTATACTTGATGCATGTGCATGCCTCTGAGATTTCTTGCCATTCACCGTTGACACCTGACACACATGCACACGCTCACTCTCACTCACTCACTCTCCCACCCCTCCCCCCGTGCGTGCGTGCGTGTGCAGAGCGCAACGGTGACCAAGTGCCGCCGCTTTTCGCAGGAGTTTATGTACTACGTCATCCTCACCCGCTCCCTCCGCAAGGTCTTCCTCTCCATCAAGGTCCGCCCTGCGCTCGCCGCGTGTCTGTACTTGTGTGTGTGTGTACTTGTGTTGTATGTGTACTTGTTTTGTGTGTGTACTTGTGTGTGTATGTGTGTGTACTTGCGTGTGTGTGTCTTGCGTATGTGTTAGCTGTTCTGATGATGATGTGAACACCATGCCAGCTCTCTCGTCTATTCGACACATCGCACCTCGCACCAACACCCCAAACACTCGCGCGCTAACGCCACCCTTTGCCTCACTCCTGCGTTTGGCTGGAACAAACAGGGCATCTACTACCAGGCGGAGATCATGGGACAGACCATCACGTGGATTGTTCCGTACAAGTTTGCAACAGAGGTAATGAACGGACAGTGAGAAGGAGGAAGGAAGAGCGTGTGCGTGTGTGCGTACGTGCATGTGTCTACATGTTGCCTGTTCGTCTTCGTCCTTTGATATGTCGTTGAGCAATCCCTCACAACAACACAATCATGTCCTCGCCACTGTATTTCCACCCGGTCACCACTATCTACCACGTCACGTCACGTCATCCCCGCTGGCAGATTACGCCCGACATTGACCTGCGCGTCATGAGCGTGTTTCTCACCTTCTACACAAAGCTGATGGGGTTCGTCAACTTCAAGCTCTTCCACGACCTCGCTCTCGAGTACCCGCCACAGGTACACGCGTGTGGTCATGTGTGTGTGACCGTATGTGTGTGTGTGTGTGTGTGGTGTGTGAGTTTGGTGTGTCTGTGTGTGTGTGTGTGTGTCTGTGTGTGAGTTTGTGTGAGTGTGTGTATATGAATGTGAGTGAGTGTGTGAGTGTGTGAGTGTGTGTATGTGTGTTTCGGGCCATGTGGCTCGGCTGTCCTTCCTCATCTCGTGCAAAGAATCCCATTCCTCATCAACACCCCCTCACCTCACATCACCTCACATCACCTCACACCACCGCAGGTTGACGAGAAGAAGCTGAAGAGCGACGTTGGCCTGTCGTGTCTTGTGTTCAGCGCTGCTGATGCCGCCGCCGCCACCGCCGCCAGCAAACTCCTCGCCGAGCAGGACGCGCAGGCAACGCTGGACGAGTTCCCAGAACAGGTCCGTCATTCGTGCTTCCTCTCATGCGTGCATCGTGCAGCCCAGTGTGGTATGGTTGTGCGGGTGTATGTGCGCCTATGACTGTGTTTGTCTCTATTTTGTGTGTGTGTGTGTGTTGCCCTTCACACCAGCACGTGCCGCTCACCGTTGTGAATGGCACACATCATTATCATCATCATCATCATCATCATCATCATCATCATCATCATCATCATCATCATCATCATCATCATCATCATCATCATCATCATCATCATCATCATCATCATCATCATCACATTCACCTTCGGCACATCCGCTGCTCATGTGCAATGGGATGGGTGCAGATGGCTGGCGGCGACGAGTGGGTGCAGGGCCACGAGGAGCTCAAGAAGAAGCGCGAGGACATGAAGAAGTTTACACATCTCTTCGACGGGATGTTCTTCTTCCTCTCCAGAGAGGTCCGTTGCTGTGTGCGTGTGTGTGCGTGTGCGTGTGTGTGTGTTCACATTCATTGCTTGCGCTGTCGGTGCAAGACCTGTTCTTATTCATCATGACTCCTATGCTCACACAACTCTCCTCCCCCACCCCCTTCCTACCCATGTTCCAGGTGCCCAAGGACGCGCTTGAGTTTGCAATCCGCAGCTTTGGCGGGCAGGTTTCGTGGGAGAGCATGGGTGGGCTCGCGCCGGGCCCCTTTGAGGCCGATGACAAACGCATCACACACCACATTGTCGACCGCCCAAAGCTTAGCACCGTCTTTGACGGCCGCCATTACGTCCAGCCCCAGTGGGTCTTCGACTGCATCAACGCACATCAGGTGTGTGTGGGTGTGTGTGTGCGCGAGTCTGTGTGTGTGTGTGTGTGTGCGAGTCTGTGTCTGTCTGTCTGAACGCATTGACCCCCTCTCCCCAGCCACTCCTTGTTGCAACGGCACGTGCTGACATCATCACCAACCTTCCCAACCCACATCACCTCGGCGTGTGTGCAGCTGCTGCCGACCTCTGAGTACAAGCCCGGCAGCATCCTGCCTGCGCATCTGTCACCGTTTGCGTCGGAGACGGAGGACGACTACATTCCACCCGAGCGCCAGCGCCAGCTCGACCGCCTCAGGCGTCTCGAGGCCGTGAGTCTTTCATGTCTTTCATGTCTTTCATGTGCCGTGTGTCTTGTGTGTTGTGTGTTGTGTGTGTGTGTGTGTGTGTGTGTGTGTGTGTGTGTGTGTGTGTGTGTGTGTCTATTCGCGTGTGCGCATCTGTGTGCCTGTCTGTGTGCATGTGTGCTACTCTGCTGCCGTCCCAGTCAACCTTCGTTCCTTGTCTCCAGTCAACACTCATCACCGCCTCCTTCCGTTTCCCATTCCTCCTGCCCTCCCTTGCCAGGCCGGCAAGAAGGGCGACGATGACGAGGAAGAAGTGGCTGAGATTGAGGACATTGAAGACGAAGTCGAGGATGAGGAGGATGAGGGCGAATATGACCAGCCACAGCCGGCCAAGAAGGCAAAGAAGATCTCTCTCAAGAACCTCGACGATGACGGTACGCGCGCGTGTATGCATGTGTGTGTACGTGTACGTGTGTACGTGCGTAGGCGTGAGTGTGTGTGTACTTGTTTAGGCGTGAGTGTGTGTGTGTGTGTAGGCATATATGTGTGTACGTGTGTGTGCGTGCCTGTTTGTATTATGTGTATGTGGGTGGGTGGTGACATTGGCTGTAAGTGAGGGTTGCATGTTCCATTCCTCTCACCACCGCCATGCTCATCCCCTTTCCGTCACGTTTGCAAAATGGTTCACACAGAGATTCACCGCCAGGAGCTTGAGGCCGAGCTTCGCGGGGAAGACATTACCAGCGAGTACGTCATTCATAGCGCACTGTTGTGCAGCCTGTAACCTGTGTGTGCTTGCAGTCGTGCTTCTCGCGCTTTGTGCCTCGTGCTGCAATCATGTGTCATGCACCGTGACTGACTGCTGCACGTGCGTATGTGTGTTGTACAGGATCAAGGCGCATGCTGAGATGAAGAAGAAGAAGGCGACCAAGGCAAAGGCGCAGCAGGCATTGCAGGAGGACCTCGACAAGAAGGTGTGCACGCACCCTGCTTTGTTTGTTTGTCTGTTTTCCTCTCGTTGGTGTGATTGGCACGCGAGTACCCTTGGTTCGAAAGAGGGGGGGGGGAGGTTGCAAACGTACTCATCGCACGCCTCGTTGGCCCTCCACTCACACCTTCCTTGCCATGTTGTTTGACTTGCCGATTTGGATACCCTGTGATGTTGTTTGCCGACACAGCGCATGATGAAGATGGTCATGTCGAACAAGAGGCGCCGCCTTTACTCCAAGATCCTCAGCGACAAGGTTTGCCCCCATGTTTTGCTTTGTGTGTGTGTGTATGTGTGTGTGTCTGTGAGGCTTGTATGCTGTGTTGTGTGCGTATACTTTGTGTGTGTGTGTGTGTGTGTGACAAGAGTGCCGTACAGCTGTCTTCTATTCTGCCTTGTGTGCCGTTGCTCATGCCACGCCATACACGCATGCTGGTGTCATCAACAGAAAAAGAAGCAGGACCGGGTGAACCACCTCGCCAAGAAGCGCCGCGCCCACGACCGGCGCGAGGCCGAAAAGAAGCAGCAGCAGCAGAAGCAGCAGACAAGCAACAGGAAGAAGAAGGCTGCAGCTGCAAAGTAGGAGAGCAACTCGCGTCGCGGAAGTTTGAGGACATACGCACACACGCACATACACGCACATGCAGGCTGTTGGTTCGCTTGTGTGCGCGCGTTCATTCATTGTTGCTTACTTGGTTTTGGGTGGGGGCGGGGAATTTGTGCGGTTTACGGTGGGGGGGGGAGAAGAACGATTAAAGACAGCATGATCACGTGCATGAACAGTGACATGACATCTTTCATGTCTGCGTTCACCATGTTATGCACTTGAGAGAGTGGTGGTGTGGGAGAGCATGCAGTGTTTGTCGTGAACAATGAACAGAAAGAACGTGATTGCGAAGACGTGTCTTCGTGTTGCGGAACGCTTGTGGGTGGGGACACGCCAAACGTCAAGTTGTGAGTGCTCGGGCTGTGCCACTGTTCTGAGCAGCTTCGTTTGCTGCTGGGAGAGGGGCATCGAACCAGTACAGACCAAGCAACATCAGGACACACGTGCTGCCGACAGCCCAGACAATACGGGTGTCAACGTTCTGGAGCCAGCATTGAAGTTTGTCCATAGCGTGGCAGGTTCCTTCGACAACCAAAGTGATATCCTTCCACAGGATTTGCATTGTGTCCCAAAAGATGCTCGGAATGTGATGAAACCAGGTGGTCGGAGTGCGGTGACAAATCGGGGTCCCGTTGCTCCACGTGCCATTCCCCATACACGTGCGTGACACGGGGGACGTGGCGTGTTTGAACTCAGTCCCCTCGCCTGCGACGAAACCGCGATCGATGAATGTGGATAAACAGGCAATTGGTACGTACACGCAGAGCAGAAAGCACTCAACCCCATCCATTCATGAGCGGACAGCTGGTAGTTACTCACTTTTCACCGGATCATCAGGTCCGACAGGCACCAACATGCTGTACCCATCATTGCATTCGCGATAAACACACGTGTCTCCTGTACGGCCAGTGAGGTTACACACGCAGGCAATTACATCCAAAACTTGAGCGTTCACGCGTGAACATATAAACGTACATGCACCAGCATACATGTACATAGCCAGTACTGAACACGCACACGCACACACAAACACACACTCTCACTCACTCACTCACGCCCTCCTTCACTTCCTACGAACAAACAGCCAAATGTCTATCGCAAACACGAACCGAAATCACCGCCACAGTCTCCAACAAGTTGGCCGTGTTGTAGAGTCAGTGGTTTACATGGTACACCTGTTATCGCGCATATACAACGGCAGGGCTGTAAGAGAACCAGGGAAGTGTTCTAACAACGACCAACTCAAGTCTCCCTGCCTGACCAACAGGCAAAGAATTGATGTGATGTGGCATTCATGAAGGCATGCATACACAGGTGCAGCGTCTTGGGTACTCACGCTCGCAGTGTGGCGGAGAGTTGCTCCAGGTGCCATCGGCTTGACACACGCGCGTCACGCCTGTCTCCGACAGCTTGAAGCCATCCTCACATCCAGAAAATGTGCACGCGTCACCTAAATCATTGGGTGAGATTGAGATGCAGGCACATGAGCGCAGCAATGTGCGGGATCCGAAAAGCGCTCCCATGCAGCAAGTGCTCTGACAGTGGCAACATTTCGTAATCAACAGCAACACACGTACCAATGCCACCGTCACAGGCACCGATCACATGACCATTGGGCAGCACCTGGGGTCCACAACTTTCAATGCCTGCAGGGAGCAAAAAGATGACATGGTTCGTAGGAAAGCCATTAGAGTCGTGGCGCGCAACGTTGGCACCAGTGCTTGTCCCCGACTGAACGATATCAAGTCACACGCCGTTCTCGCTCATGTCGAGCAAGCCAACACACGTTTGCAGACTGGTGCCGTGTTCGTCCATGAGCCATCCGCCTGGCAAACGCGCGTCACAGGTGGACTCAACAGCCGATATCCAAGGTTGCAGCCGCTGTACTGGCACTCATCACCTGATCGTCGATTTAGAACGTATGCCATGGAATCAGAAATGAACGCTGATGAAGGGAGACTTGCAGTCTTGGGGGGTGTTAGTATCCTGCGAGACTATGGCTGAAGGATTGGCCGCTAGCACTCTCCATATTCACTTGATCACTTACCGACACGTCCTTGACAGTTGCCTGAAAGAATCCCATCTTGGAGAACCAGTTTTCCGCATGGCGCTTCTAACAATGCGGCGTCGAAGAGCATATTGGTACTGAGGGTTCGTGCAGTTGAAAACCCAAAGGCAGTCCAGTTTCTCGAGTTTCTTGGCAGTTCGCTTCTCCCGCATCACCCCTTCTCTCTGTACAATGCGAACGCTGGCTCTCACCAATGCAGCCTCGAGCACCGTCTGATGTAAAGCCGTTGGCACACGATACCTATAACCACGGAAGGGAATCAAGGAATACCGTGAAGAAGGAACATGATGAAGGCACCATATAGCCGTGTTGGCGAGACAGGCGTACCAGACCAGCCACATGGAAACAAAATATACTCACATCACACGTTGTCACGTGCCACCGCCTGTCCTCGTCAACTGCAGAGTACATCGAAGCAAGCCCTGCATTCGCCATCAGCACGATCAGGCGGCTTTGCGTGAGCTTGGAGTCAAATTCACTTGCCTGCCAATCACGCTCATCGAGCAAGGACGCTTGCTACGTACCAGCAATCACTTGATGACGTTCCACGTCAACGTCAAGGGCGCCGTGAACAGGGTTCACAAACTCGCGTCGCTGGCAGTTTGTCAGAATTGCACCCGTGATGCGCTGACATTGGAATTTGAACAACCGATCTTTCATTGCTTGGACAAAACCAGACTGGATTGCACGCAAATCTGCATCGTAAGTCACGGACGCACGTCTGCAAGGTGAGCACATGATCTATGATGGTGCGTCTATGGAAGCAACCTACACATTGACCACAACAAACACGCCAGAATTGACACAAGACAAGCTTACAGTAGTTTGTGGGGCATATCATGTTGACGGCGCCATGCAGGTCCTCGACGCCAGCGGTACTCATTTCGGTCAAGTCTGCCACCTGAGTACTTCCGACTGGCGCGCATTGAAACCGCCATTTGCGATCCCCTGACAACCACACAACATGAAACAGTAAAATGCAGACAATGTTGGCTTGAACAGTGCAAGGCGGGCGGAAATGAAACCAACAGGCAAGCGCACGACCGCAAGATGACAGTCGCGCAATCCTCACCTTGGCCCTCGTCATAGTCAGAACGAACTCTGACCAGGCCCTGGTTGTTGTGGCATGTGACGAAGAAAGTTTGCTGGAAGTGCTCATCGTAGGAGGGCGAAGGCGACGGCTTAAGTTCTGTACAGTGAACATCACACCACAAAACATGCTTGTGAAGCCATGCCACAGGAAGCGACACACGATCTGTTCCAAACTTCGTGCAGAGGAACCGTGTACACTCGATATTGTACGCACCTGTCGGCACACATCCCGTGTCATGCTGCTCGTAGAACGGCGAACAGTCCACCTTGTTGTCGGCAATGTGTGCATTCCCGTGCAATGCAATTAAACTTCAGCAACGAAAAAGATGGAGATCACCGCGACCACTTTAAGGGGTTGCACTTGACTTACTCGGCAGGTGGTGAAGCGAAATCGACGGTCTTCCTTGTTGTTGTCATGATAGGAGTTCACGCCTGTCAACACGAGCAGGAACAGACTCAGCAAAGCGCGGGTTTACATTGGTACTCCAAGTATGCGCACGTATTCTGAAGTACGTACCAGAATGTACTGCCTACAGTACTCACGACAACACGAAGTCTCACCCGTGATCACGCGATTATCCGAAGCTATGAACTTGAACTGTTCGTCCCAATTGTTAACGTAGTCACCTCTCTGACAATTAGAGAGCACTGCATCTGTAGCCTGACGACATGTCCAGATCCAAAGCCGATCGCTGTAATGCCCGTGAAACTTTGAGAGAGCCCCTGCCAAGTCTAGTGTCAATCAGCCACAAGCCACAGGTGAAACGGACCAGCGCAGGTGTGAGCTTGTGCACACGCAGAAGCGGTGATCGAAGCCAGCGTGGTAGACACAAACAGCACTCTTGACTTCTTGAACGAACAGTGGTGCCGAGGACAAACTACGGTTTGTGGATGATCGTAGTTCTCCTTCCGGTCTTCCAGTGTGCCAAACTTAGCGACGTTGTCATTTGGTCCATATCCAACATCTTCACACAAAAACCTCCACTTGCGGTCCTCTGACAAGAGCAAACAAGGCAAACAAGGTGAGACGTGAGTGCAGCTCACCAAGAAGTCAGCAACGGTCAACAGGCAAGCTTTGCGTGTGCGCAGAAACACTTATACTTCACCTCAAACACCGAGTGTTCGCTTAGTCTCACCCTGAGATCACAACCCGTGGTTGACGAGCATCACAGACGGAAGCAAGAAGGCAGAACAAAACAGCACGAGAGACGGGGTTGAAGACAAGGATTAAAAGCCAAGTCGTTCCAGTTGTTTCTGTGGAGTGAAACAGCTTGAAGACACACTCACATACACAAGGTGCAATTGCATGTGCTTTCGAGCGAGCCACAGCAAACCTCAAGCATGCATCTCAAGCTTCATCTTACATATTCATTCTCGTGAATGGAGCGAAGTCCACGAAATCCCTGTCCATTCGGGCAGGCAACATTGAACTCCTGCGCAAACGAGGTAAATCCGTACACTTTTGCAGCCCCACCATCCACCAGCTTGCAAGAGCACACGATGCAAAGCATCAACCCCAACGCATGCCCTGCAGTCCAGCAGCTGTTCGGCCTGGTCATTGTGCTGGTTGTGTTGGCCCACAGTCAACAGCGCAACAGAAGAACCAGACGAGAGGTGAGAAGGAGACGCAGCGGTGCAGTGGACTCAGCAAAAGAAAACAGATGTCGCTTGGCTGCTCGTGTTCTCGTGGGAAGGAAGGTGGGATAGAAAATGCCCACCGCACACACACACAACAGACAGACACTCTGCCCGTGGCTGTGTGTTTGCGTGAATGTATGCCTGACCTTGTGTTGTGACTCAGCCGTCGTCATGTGAAAGTGACACATCAGACACATGATGCTATGACACACATCAGTCACACCATCAGTGTTGTCGCGTCCATCAACAGGAGGACACACCATTTTTGGTCTGACTAACATTTCATCCTGTCGCAACCAGCTGTTGTTGACGGACGCTGCTGACTGACGGACGACCGTTTCTTCCTCCCTCTCTTCTCCTCCTACGTCCTCAATCCCGAGCATGAGCATCGTGGTGTATTGTCGGCTGAAGCCGACGGACAAGCCGTACGACGGCGTGGAGCTGGACCCGCAAGATGACTGCGACATCTTGAAGATTCACACGCCTCGGAACACAAAGGACATTGTGAACCACACGCGGGAGGACTACAAGTTCAAGTTCCAGAAGGTGTTCCAGCGCGAGACCAGCCAAGACACCATCTTCAACCACGTTGCCAAGCCAGTCGCTGAAAGGTAACCGCACACGCAAGGGGGAAGAGGGTACCGTGTGCATTCCCTAGCTGACTGCCGGCATCTCCGCTTGCATGTGAATGGTGACGTGACAGCTGTTGCTCGCCAAGATGTAATGCTCTTGTTGTTTGTCCAAAGTGCTCACGATCTGCCACGCTTTGTGTGTTGCCTCGTGTTTCATTTGTTTCGGTTCTGGTGCTGGGCTGCAGCGTCATTGAAGGGTACAATGGGACTGTGTTTGCTTATGGTCAGACGGGGTCGGGCAAAACGTTCACCATCACGGGCGGCGCCGAGAACTACGACCAGCGCGGCCTGATTCCTCGCATCCTGGAGTTTCTGTTCCAGTTCTACGCGGACCACCCTGATCGCGAGTTCTCCACGCGCGTCTCCTACCTTGAAATCTACAATGAGAACGGTTACGACTTGTTGGGAACACCGCAGCAAGGCAAACTCAAAGGCATGGAGGACCTGCCAAAGGTGTGCATGTGTATGTGTATGTGTGTGTGTGTGTTTGCGTGAGTGTCTGTCTGTCTGTGTGTTTGTGTCTGTGTGTTTGTGTTTGTGTGTGTGAGTGTGTGTGTGTGTGTGTGTGTGTGTGTGTGTGCGTCTGTCTGGCTGTGTGTTTTTGTGTTTTGTGTGTGTGTGCCTGCCTGCCTGTGTCTGGCTGTGTGCCTGCCTGCCGGTCGGTCTGTTTGCGTGTCGCAAACCATCGTTTCAGGGACACTTTGCATGTTGATGACTTGTCCACTGTGTGCAGATCAACCTGATGGAAGGCCCCGACGGCGACGTGCACCTGAACAACCTGTCTCAAATCCCCGTGGAGACAACAGAGCAGGCGCTAAATGCGCTCTTCGTCGGCGACACCAACCGCATGATTGCCGAGACGCCCATGAACATGGCATCCACACGCTCCCACTGCATCTTCACCATCTACGTGACCTCGCGTGAGACGGGCTCCTCTGTCTGGCGAAAGGGCAAGCTGCACCTGGTCGACCTTGCTGGATCAGGTGTGTGCATGTGCGTGTATGTATGTGTATTGATTGCGCATGTGTGCTTGTATGTATGTGTGTGCATTGATTGCGCCAGTGTGTCTGTCTGCCTGTGTGTGCGTGCGTGTGTGTGCGTATTCGTGTGCATGTGTAGTGATTGCGCATCTGTGGGTGTGTGTCTGCGCATATCTGTACTTGTGCCTCTTGCTTTACATCCCGCTGTCAACCGCGTCTGCACATGCTACGCCGCCTTGTCTTCCCCTACCATCCGTCTTTTCTTCACGATCACACACACACACACACACACACTCTCTCTCTCTCTCTCCCTCTCACTGCACTGCTGCCACCCCTCCCCCTCCCCCCCCCCCAAATCACCGCCTCCCTGCTTCCCACAGAACGCATCAAGAAAACGAATGTGGAAGGTGTGCTGCTGACGGAAGCGAAATACATCAACCTCTCGCTTCACTACTTGGAGCAGGTGCGTGTTGCCCCGTCCTTCAGCACATTCATCCTGCACGCACACACGCACACGTGTCAGCACAGGCCATCACTTGTGTTTGATGTCAGCCCATGCACACTGTTCACACACATACACCTCACACACACACACACACACACACCTCACACACACACACACACACACACATACGCACTCACACACACTCTCTCACTCACTCACACACTCACACACGCACACTCAATCATCACCATGTCACGTCCGTCTCTCCCATTCACACGCCACTGTAGGTGATCGTTGCGCTATCAGAGAAGACGCGTCGGCACGTTCCGTACCGAAACTCGCTGCTGACGTCTGTTCTTCGCGACAGTCTTGGCGGCAACTGCAAGACGACCATGATTGCCACCATGTCCTCGGAGGAGCGGAACATGGCGGTGAGTGGTGCCACCATTGATTGTCGCGACTGTGCAATCGAAACGCACAACGGCTTTCTTCGTCGCACATCTTGTATTCCAACACCCACGCACACACGCACACACACACACACGCACATGCAGGAGTCGATATCGACTGGCCGGTTTTCGCAGCGTGTTGCGCTTGTGAAGAACGACGCCCGCCTCAATGAAGAGCTCGGTGGGTTCTGCAGGAACGACTGCTAATACAGACACAAGTACCAACTTGCTTTCTAGGATTGCACGTGTCGCCATGCACACACTGACGTACATTTGGATACGCACGTACACACTCACACACGCACACACACATACACACACACGCACGCACGCACGCACACACGCGTAGATCCGAAGCTTGAAATTATTCGGCTGAAGCAGGAAGTGACGCGACTCAAGGCAGAGCTCGCGCTGCTCTCTGGTGACGTGAGTTGCACACACACACACACACACACACACACACACACTTCCACACACACACACACACACACACGTGTTTTCACATGAGAACTACCACAGCAACGCATGTGCACTTGCACACAGCGCACGTCATTGGTCATCGACGAGTATTTGCTACTTGTTCTCACTGTCACACACACACACACACACACACAGGTGGACATGTCCGAGCCATTGACCGACGAGGAGAAAGAGGCGTAAGTGGTGTGCACCTGTCCTTCGTGCTTGCAGGCACCATACGCTGCCCAAGTTTCTCACGTGCATGTAAACACATGTACGTGTGTGCACGCCACGTGACAGGTTGCGACAAATGGTTGACACGTACGTGAGCAGCACGGCACAAGATGCAGACCTTGTGCTTGGAGATATGCGCAAGATCCAATACTGCTTTTCATACTTCAAGGTGCAACGAACGCGCTTTCAGCCACCTCGCTGGGCCAGTCTATGACACGTGGTGGTTTGAACATTACGCGCGCTACTCCACAATCCCATTGACACACACATGCACACACACATACATGCACACACACCCACATACATCCACACACTCACACATACATCCACACACGCACACACACACCCACAAACACCCACACACACCCACACACACCCACACACACATACATCCACACACACACACATGCGAACACACACACACACACACAATCCCTCCCCCTCACTCACTCACACTAACCCACAAACACCCACTCACCCACTCACTCACTCTGCCACCACGTTAGGCGTCACTGCTTTTGGCAAGGGAGAATGCCGGCCCAGCACAAGGGCACACAGAGGACGAGGAAGGAACTGGTGGTGGTGATGGTGATGGTGATTTGGATGTGAGCCGAACCAAATACTACCACGACGAGGCCACCAATGAAAACGTACGTTTGCCACCAATGCTGTCACTACTTACCTTTCGACACACCTGTGTTGTTCTCCCTCCCTTCTTCTCCATGCCACACACACACACACACACATTTCACACACTCCCACACTTGCTCACTCACATACACACACTCTCTTGCTCACTCACATACACACACTTGCTCCCTCCCTCACAACCACAACCAATTCGCCCACACTAACACATACACAACCAATTCGCCCACACTGACACCTACACAACCCCTTAGATTACGCGGTTGGAATCGCTTCTGGAGCAGCGCGATAACGAAATTCGCATTTTGGTGGCGAAACTTCGACGAGCGCGCGGCGAAGGCGGCACATCGGACACGTCGTCCTCTCGTTCCAGCACCATCCGGACACCAGCAGCAACAGGACCGCCAGCCATGACAACGACAACGCGTGACTTGTCGCCAGAAGAGAAGAAAGCTCTCCTCGAGCAGTTCAAGACAGAGAGCCAGGTATGAGCACGTGTGTGTGTATGTTGTGTGTGTGTGTGTGTGTTGTGGGTTGTGTGTGTGTGTGTGTGTGCGTGCTTTGCCTCATGATGATGAACAAACACAGCCATTTCGACTCCTTTCAACCTACAACCACAAGCCATGCTCTCCCCCCCCCTACACACACGCACACACTTCACAGGCATACCCCATCCTCGATCGAACAAAGACGACGCTGAAAGACCTGTACGCGCAAGCTCAACGTCTTGGACAAGAGGTGCAGGAAGCCAAGTACGTTTCTGCATCAACTCCCCCTCCACGCGCGTTCAACATGCTTTGCACTGGTTCCGCGTGGCTCTGGGCACCTTGGATGTGTCATTGGTGTCGCAATCGCGTACCCCTCCCCCCTCCCTTCCTCTTCTCCCCCCCGCCTTGTCTTCTCATCCATACTTCCCCTCGTTATCCTCCAGGGATATTATTGCGGAGATTAAGCGGCACATGACGCGACACCAGCAAGAGCATCTCACAGAACACGTGAGTGCTTGCCGCGTGTCATGATGATGCACGACCTACATGCACATGCACATCCCTTACACGCATCTTCACTCACTCGCGCACGCACATTATCCCACCCCCCCCCCCGTGCCTGTGCGTGCTCTTGTTCTCCACGTGCACCCGCGATCTTAATTCCCCTACCATCTCCACCACCACACTTGCCATGCATCGACAGATCCGAAGTGGGCTGGAAGAAGAGGACATTGTGGACCCAGAACTGGATGCGATGCAGTCAGAGCTTCAAGTTTGCCAGACAGCGTACGCTTTTGTAACTTTTCGCGCTTTCTGCTTGGTCTCTCCCCTGATCACCTATGCACTCACACGCACACGCACACGCTCCAATTTACACTCACGCTCACACTCACACGCACACACACACACACACTGACGCTCAAATACTTATACTAACACATACACAGGTACAAATCGAAGCTGTCGAAGCTGCGATCGCTGAAACAGGAAACAGAACACCTGAAACACCTGTTTGAGAAGCAAAAGGTGGGTTGTTGTGATGTAGTAATCCCTTTGCCCTCCTTCCCAACAGTGCCAACGGCCGCATTGCGCCTCAACTTACCATGACCGCATGCGTGTTCTTCATCCCCAGGTTGCTTTCCAACAAGAGTTTCAACGCTGGCTGGATGAACGCCCTCCAACCGCCTAAGAACACACGCTCATACACATATACATGCGCATACACACACGCATGCACATGTACGCATGCACACAAACACGCTCATACACACACGCTTTCAAGCATACACACGCTCATTCACACGCACTGTGGATTGTTAAATTACTGGTGAGCGCATCGGTCAAATGTTTACTGTCATTCAGAGCTGGCTGGCCGGCTGGTTTGTCCAACACCACAATCTCTTCTTTGTTCATCGGCAATTAAACCCAGCACGTCAAATACACGACTCCACACAAGCAATCATACTCACAACACGATCACAAACGCTTCAAGCACAGGGCACTGTGCGCACACATATAATGGGGGCAGTCATCGCATCTCTCGCCCAAGCACAAGCAAACAACCAACCAAACAAACACACAACAAACAACCAACCAACCAAACAAACAAACAAACAAACAAACAAACAAACAAACAAACAAACAAACAAACAAACAAACAAACAAACAAACAACTAAACACACATACTCTCTCTCTCATACATATTCACACACGAACATGCTCATACATATCCACACAGCCTCAACAAGCCTGCACTAAGCAACAAGCAAGTGGCGTCATTTGAACTTGTTGCGAGAGTTACGCTTTCGTCCGCCTGTGAAATGAGGCCCTGCTCAACCAAGCACACACACACACACACACACACACACACACACACACACACACACACACACACACAACGCACCCCAGTGTGAGATGATGAGGCATTGGCATACACCCGGGTGGAAAGCATGAGAAATACAAATGCAGTGCACGATATACACAAACACATGCATCGCACCGTGCGTAAATTGCTGCAGTTGGCCCATGTATGGGCCCATGTACATGTGTTGTGCCATTGGTGCGCCGTGGTGCACACCGCCGTTTGGCACGGGCGGTTGAGGAGCAGGATACGGCATCACAGGTGGCATCGTACCCTCGCCAGCACCTGCTACCATTCCTGGGTGCTGGCCACCAGCTGGGGCTATCGGTATATGCTGCTGTTGTTGTTGAGGCATAAACTGCATGGTGTGCTGCTGAGGCATGAACTGCTGCTGCTGTTGAGGCATGTGCTGCACTTGGGGCACTTGCTGCATGTACGGCACTTGTGGCGTGTGCTGCATGTGCTGTTGATGCATGTACGGCACTTGTTGCATCTGTGGTGCCTGCGGGCCGCCGGCGATGGGGCCCCCGGTTGGGTGAAATGGTGCCATAGAAGCATCGAGCCCTGGGTGTGGCAACTGCTGGTGCTGGTGCTGGTGCTGGTGCTGGGCATGAAACGGCGGCCGCGGATGCTGTTGCTTGCGAGGTGTACGGTGGCTTTGGCGATTGTGGTGCTGCTTGCGGCGAGGGTCCTGCGGGCTCGGATGATGTGGGTGGTGGCGGCCGCGCTGATCGCGCTCGTTGCGGGGATGACCGCGCAGGGCATGACGCTGGTGGCCTGTTGTCTTCACCTCCGTGTGGCTGTTATCATCATTCACCGGTTGTTGCTCTTCTGTGTCGCCCTGCTCCCGCGATTTGGCCCCTGATTCTTCCGGCTCCTGCTCAGCTTGGATACCGCTTTCGACACCACCGTCTCTATTTCCGCCTTCCTCCTCCCTTGTCTTCTCTTCCTCGCTCTGGGCTGTGGTTGCCGTCTCTTGCCCAGCTTCCTTTGGGCGCTGTTCACTCTTTGCTTCACCCTCAGCCTGCTGCTCTTTCACGACGTGGTTCGTCTTCTCCTGCTCCTCACTCTTGTCCTCCTGCACACTCTGCGCTTCCGTCATCGTTGACCCCTTGACTTTCTCTGTTTTCTCCTTTGACTCTTGCACCACGTTGACCACGCCCTGCTCTTTCGTAGCCTTGTTCGCTTTGCTTTCCTTAACCGAGCCGTTCTGCCCCGCCATCTCGTTAACCTCTGCTCCCTTGCATTCCTCCTCTCGTTTGCTCTTGCCCGTCCCGCTGTTCGGCTTCTCTTTCTCTTTCTCCTCGCAGTCCGAGCCGCTGCTGTCAGGAGCGGTGGTGTCCGCCGCGCCCTTCCCTTCCGCCGTCAAATTCGCCGGTGCCTGCGCTGGTGGTGCTGTGATAGGTGACGTTGGTTCACCGCTAGTGGTGCTTGCCGTGTTGGCCTCTGGTGAGGCCCCTGTCAACTTGAACAGCACACGAGTTGGACGCGCAGGCGCATCGTCGGAGGGCGTCGGGGATGGCTGGGATGATTGATCTGGCTGGGATGATTGATCTGGCTGCGGTTGCTGTGCTGGCTGTGCTGGCTGCGGTTGCTGGTATGGCGGGTATGGCGGGTATGGCGGGTATGGCTGGTATGACTGGGATGGCTGGTAGGGCGATGGTTGAAATGGCTGCACTTGCACTTGCGCGGTGTGGGGCTGCATGTGCTGGTGGCCATAACCAGGGACCTGGGTGTTAGGTACATACTGCTGAGGATGGTGCGGGTAGTACGAGTGTGTGTGAGGGTTCATGACCCCGTTTGTGTGGCCCATGTGCGCCTGCTGCTCCTGCCATGGGTGTGGGGGCATCATGCCGTGTTGGTCGGGCGCGTATTGCGGCATCTGGTGTTGGTTTCCAGGCACAACCCCGCCACCTTGCGGATGCATGGGCACCGGGGCCGGCATCAAAGGTGGTTGAGAGGACTGTCCAGCATAAGGAGGCGCAGGGGGTGCGTTGTTTGTCCCTGGTACCATCATGCCCGCACCGCCACCATTGAGAGCACCGTGGCCTGGCTGCTCTTCCTGCCTTTCCTGCTTTGGCTTCTCTTCCTGTCTCTGCTGTTGTTGCTGCTCATCCTGATTCTGCTTCTGTTGCTGCTGTGCCTGCTGCTTCGGCTGTTTCTGCTCTTCCTTCTCTTGCGGCTTCGGCTGTTTCGATTGTCTCAGCGGTTGCTGCTCTTGCTGCTTCTGCTGTTTCTGCTCTTCCTTCTCTTGCGACTTCGGCTGTTTCGATTGTCTCAGCGGTTGCTGCTCTTGCTGCTTCTGCTGCTTCTGCTGCTTCCGCTCTTCCTTCTCTTGCGACTTCGGCTGTTTCGATTGTCTCAGCGGTTGCTGCTCTTGCTGCTTCTGCTGCTTCCGCTCTTCCTTCTCTTGCTGCTTCGACTGTTTCCGCTCTTCCACCTTCTGCTGCTGTTGCTGCTTCGGCTGCTGCGCCTGCTCCTGCTGCTTCGGCAGCTCTTTCTGCTTCGGCTGTTTCGGCTGCTGCCTGGACGTAGATGCGGGGGAGTTCTCTTTTGCTTGTGTCTGCTCACGCGCGCTCTCCTTCCCTGTTTCCTCTGTAGCCTCATCAAACCCAAAAGCAACGTCGGACAGCCCTTGCTGGGAGCCACCATCAGCAAAATTCACAGCACCCCGAGCAGGCGCGATGGCTGCCGCTGTTTTGGACGCGGAAGCTGCAGCCCGGGGTACGCTGGACGTCTGTTGCGTGTCCTTGGTCATCATAACAGTCCGCTCTTGCTTCCATGGCCTCAATTGTTGCTGCTGCTTCTTGTCCTTCACTGGCTGCCCCTGCTGCTGCTTGACTGGCTGCTGCTTCACATGCTGCTGGTTGACTGGCTGCTGCTTGACTTGCTGCTGCTTGACTGGCTGCTGCTTGACTGGCTGCTGGTTGACTGGCTGCTTGACTTGCTGCTGCTTGACTTGCTGCTGCTTGACTTGCTGCTGCTTGACTGGCTGCTGCTTGACTTGCTGCTGCTTGACTGGCTGCTTGACTTGCTGCTGCTTGACTTGCTGCTGCTTGACTTGCTGCTGCTTGACTTGCTGCTGCTTGACTGGCTGCTGCTTGACTGGCTGCTGCTTCATTGGCGGCTTCTTCAAATCCGCCTGTTTCTGCTGCTTCTGCTGGCCTGGCCATGCCTGTTTGCGCTCGGAGGCTTTGTTCTTGGCTATGCCTTTCGTGTCAAGTGTGGCAGGCCTCTGCTTCGCCTCTGGTGCGTCTTCGTGCGTTCTGTTGGGACGTTGGTTGGTACCACGTCCCTTGCCCCCCTTGGAACGGGCGCGCCTTGTGTGTTGCTTTGCCTCGTGACTCTCGGCCGCTGCTGCCGCTGCTGCTGTATCACTGTTGCTCGGCTTGGCGTTGCGCCCACGTGCTTGCAGTCGCTGCTTGCGCTGAGAAGCGTGACCACGCGGAACCTGCCACTCGTTCTCCTCCCAGGGGGCACTGCTATGGAGAGCGTCTTCGGGTACCATCACGCTGGCATGCATGCCAGAGTCAGCAAGCAGGGACACCTCGTCATCCATGGATGGCACAGCCTGCTTGCTGACTGACGCGGCAATGGTGGCAGGAGATGCTGCCGATGACTTGGACTGTCGGTGATTGGTGCCCGTCGGCGTGTCTTCTGTGGGCGAGGGTATGGCTTCGTTGTGGTTGCCCACTGCTGACTCGCTATCACCCGAAGGCCTTCCGCCACGTTCGCTAGGTTGCTGTTGCTGCTTCTGCTGCTGCTTTTGCTGCGTCTGCGTCTGTGTCTGCTTCCGCTTCTGTTGTTGTTGTTGCTGCTTCTGCTGCGTCTGCTTCCGCTTCTGTTGTTGTTGTTGTTGTTGTTGTTGTTGTTGTTGTTGTTGTTGTTGTTGTTGTTTGTTCTTGCGACGCGACTTGTCCTTCTTTTTCTTGTTCTTGGCTTTGCCGCCTTTGTCACTGCCCTTCTTGGCTTTGACCTTGTGTGTTTCGCCCAGCGACGCCATGATCTCGTTGAAAGCGTCGTCGCTGCGCTTCTTCAGCTCCTCCTCAAGCTGCTTGCGCTCTGAAATTGTGTCCCGGACGATGCGAGAGCGAGCGCTGCCGAGGTGCTGCATGAGCGCTCTGCTGCACGCCGTCAGAAGCAGGTCCTCGCGCCGTAGCTTGTGCTTGGTGGCTTGAAAGATGATCATGAGCACACAGCGCGCTTCACCAATGCGGGAAAACGCTTGCTGGCACAAGCTGCTAAATGCTCCCTTGGTTTGTTTTGCGCACGACAGCACGCGTTGGCCCTGTGCACATTTGTCATGCCCACAGCACAAGAGTGTGAGCAAAAGAAAGCAGGTAGCTCCACATGCAAAAGGCCAGCGTGATGCTCAATGCACATGTGACACGCGCGCGCACACGTGCGCACACCAAGTGGACCAACGAGCACACAACAATGACAACAACGCCGTGCTCACAAATGCACGTGTGTAGTACACCAACGCAATCAGAAAGAGAAGAGCACGCGCACTGTTGCAAAACAAGCAAGCTCGAATGACCGCACCAGTGGGCTGGAGGCTGTGATGGCCGCAACGCTGGAGTCCTCGTTAGGATCGTCACGGCACCAGAGGATCTGTCTTCGCACATCAATGCATTCTTTTTGGAGGGCCTCGAGGCTCTTTGCGTATTGAGTGAGCGCGGTCTGGTGCTGCTTGCGCCGTTGCAGATGGGGGCTCTTCTGGCTGATCTCCGTGGCCAGCTTGGACTCCCGGCTTTGCAGAAACGTCACGTGATCGCGCAGCTGGGGGATTTTCTGGCGCGCCACGGTACCGGACGTGAAGATCTGCTCAGCCTGGAACTTGTCCTTCTGCACAGCCATCAGCTCGTGCTGCAGGGCGTCCAGCTCATGCGACATGACGCTGATGTCGTTGAGGGCCTGCTGGTTCTGACGCCGCGTGAGCTCCAAGGCAACGTCAACGGCTTGCAGGTTGCGCCTGAGGCACTCGTAGAGCACCGCCGGGGACAGCGGCAAGGCAGCGTCCATGGGCTGTGACTCGTCCATCACGCAGGTTAGCGTCTTGC